GCCTACAACCTACGGCGACCTACTTACCACTGGCTATCGTGCAGGTCACGGGTTCAACTCCAGGGAACTGTGCAGATACTGTACACAGGTAAGCTGAGGTCAAGGGATCGACCCCTGGGATGTGTATCGGCTACTGCCAAAGGTGAAAACTGTTTCACCAGAAACACGAATGACTGGTCCCACGTGAAAGCACCGCCACGCCCATAAAATAGCCCGAACAACGGGACCAAACCAACCGGGATACAGACAAGATCACCAAAACAAATTCTACCATATCCATAGTTAAAAAAACGGAACCATACAGTAGGTCCGTAAAGAGGGATATGAATCCCCGACATGCGAATTATGATTCCGCTGTTCTAACCTGCTAAACTATTCTGCCTGCCAGTGCCTGGTAGAGCAAGCACGCCGCCGCGAGACGCCAGTGCCTGGTAGAGCGAGCACGCTGCCGCTCTCGCGACGGATAGGACTTTCTCTTATTCCCTCTAAGAAAGCAATTATATATACAACTACAATCAATTCAATAAACAGAGTCAAGAAATCTATTTAAATTTTACAAATTTAATTGGATTTTAAATTAAATTAAAGACTTCCATATAATACCCAAATTGCCCCCTAAGTATGGAAGGCCGAAGGCGCAAGAGCGCTCTTTTCTTTGATCGAGACAACTCTCGCATAACACATGCAAGTCGAACGTCGTTTTCTCGTCAGTTGAAAACAAGGTGGCAAACGGGTGCGTAGCACGTGGGAATCTACCAAACAGTTTGGGGGAAAAATCCCAAACAGTCTGATGGGAAAAAATCCCAAACAGTCAATTTACCGTGATAGTCAAAAGCTTTTAGCGCTGTTTGATGGGAAAAACCCGTACTTTATTATTACTATATTAATTATATATTATTATCTCTAATACTAAAAAGCAAATAGAGGGTCTCGCGTGACGGTCCCACGCGAGCACCCTTTGCCAGTGTTGGGAATGGCCGAGATGGGCCCAGGGCCCATGCCAGGAGCGGGCGGCGAAACGGCGCGGTGGCGAAAGGGGTCGGGAGGAGTGGCAGGGAGCGGGCGGGGAATTGAGAAGTGGCGCGGCCGGCGAAACGGTGCTGCGGCCAAAGGCGTTGGCAGGGGTGGCAGGGAAAAGTGGCTGGTGAATGCCGAGCGGGCCGAAACGGCACGGCAGCGCCACGGAATAGATGAGCGGGCGGCGCATGAGAGGGCGGGTGCATATGCACACGGGTCGGGAAAGCAAACTGGCCGGGAGCGGGCGGGGAGGTGACAGAGGCGTGCGCACACGGGTGGGGAAAGCAAACGGCCCGGGAGCGGGCGGGGAGGTCACAGAGGTGTGCGTGTAGGGCGGGTGAGCAGGCGGGAGGGAAACTGTGAGAGTGCATGTGGAGGTGACAGAAGTGTGCGTGTCGGGCGGGTGAGCGGGCCGGTGCATGTGATAAATAAAGAACGAGAGAGAGAGAGAGAGGGAAAGGTATCGGGTGATGAACAAGGGGAGAGAGTGATGAGAGAACAACGGGAGTGAGTGGTGAAAGGAGACGAGGAGAGAACAACGCGAGTGAGCGGTGAAAGGAGACGAGGAGGACAACAGGAGAGAGAGAGAGAGGGAAAGACACAAAGGAACGCGGAAGACAAAGGCAGAGCGGTTTATCCACGAGCCGTGTAAACGTGGGGGATTGCTAACGCCAACATGGCAGACCGAGGTACTGTCTATATCCTTCGTTCTCTTTCTCTCTCTATATATCCTTCTTTCTTCCTCTGTGTGTGTGTGTGCGTGTGTGTGTGTGTGTGAGACTGAGAGAAAGATAGATCGGATGTCCATTTTAAGAGCTTCTCTCTCTTTCTTCCTCTGTGTGTGTGTGTGTGTGTGTGTGTGTGTGAGAGAGAGAGTGAGAGAAAGATAGGTCGGATGTTCATTTTAAGAGCTTCGCCTTTTCCAAGAAAAGCAAAAAAAAAAAAAAAGTGTGCATTAAGTTTTTTGTTTACGGCAATCTGTTCGTCAGCAAGAGGTAGGTGGTGGTTTAGAGAGAGAGAGAGAGAGAGAGAGAGAGAGAGAGAGAGAGAGAGAGAGAGAGAGAGAGAGAGAGAGAGAGAGAGAGAGAACCGATCGAATCTTCTTCCACAACGTCGAGATATTCGCTACTACACCTGTGTGTGTGTGTGTGT